TTGTGTACATTTCTTTCTCTTTCCCGAACCACTCAAATCATCGGTGGTCATACCTTCTCGCCGCAACTATCAAATGATCCAAGCAGGTTCCCAGGAGATCTATGGCCAGCGTATCGCCGTATGTCAACGAGCTCAGGTCGGATTCTAAAAATTGTAGCTTTTAGAAAAACCTTAGTGACCCAATTTTGATCTCCGCCTCCAACTCGACCTTCTGAGACTGACATCGCCTGTACGACGTTGTCAGGGAGCTCTTCTCATTTGTTGGCCCATTCTGGCTCCAGCCCCGGCCATAATTCGGCCTGCGTCCGCCTGAGCCAAACCCACAGCCACCACGGCCTCCTGGCCGCCCTGGACGGCCATTACCTGAGGTCCCGATCTAGAAGATTCATTGTTCCTCGAGCCTAATTACTGGGGTAATCAATTTTCCTTTTTTTTTTTTGAAAGTAAATTCCAGATCTGTTTGAGGAGATTTTACTACCACATGAATTCACTCTCATCTTCAACGACTTGACATGATGACCGTGGTTGGGAAACGCTGGCTGGTCGTGTTTGGGGGCAGTAGGGAGGGGGAGGCCAACTATTTGAACGACTTGCACATTTTGGATCTGACAAGCATGGTGTGGTCGCCCGGAGGTTTGGGGGGTCCCGACCCCCGGCCCGTGGCAGCCATAGCTCGGTGGCAGTTGGAGGCACGCTGTATGTGTTTGGTGGGGACTCGGGTGATAGGTACCAATGGGATGTTTGGGTGCTCGAGTCGACATGTTAATTTGGTTGAGGGTAATTTAGTTCTTAATGTTTATCCATTTGGGAGTTTTCGATTTTTGAAAATCCTGTCATGATTAAGTTTGTTAATTTTTTTTTTTTTTTGTGTTTTAGGTGGATGCTGGTGGTAAGTATTCGCACCAAGGTGAGTAGTGGTAATTTTACCAAAATCTAAACATGCAATTTTATTTTTATATTGAGCTTGGTTGAGCAAGTGACTCTTATAGATTACATGATGTGAATGTGAGTGTTTATGATTTCAAGAATCCCATTTTACTCTGTTTTGGGCTTTATTACTTCTTTGTTTTCTTGTTCTTATTGACGTTGCTAGCTTAATTTATTGTGAAGGTCAATGCTAAGTTCGAGATCCATGTTAATAATGTTATGTGCAGGTGTACGTACTTGGTGGAGTTGGCAACAAACAGTGCTTCAACTGTAGTGCCCCGTTCGATTATTGGATTTATCAAATTATTATTATTATTATTATTATTATTATTATCATTATTATTATTATTATTATTATTATTATTATTATTATTATTTATTGGCAATATTAATATTATTTGAATTAATTGCCTAAGTGACATTTATTGCTCGACTATTATATATTTATTTTATTGTGTGACATATATATTATCCGATTTAAATTTATTTTATAGTCGCGAGTGATCCGAGCCATTTGTTTTCAGCTAAGTCAAACCTGAGAGAATCCCGCGCCCGAGCCGCGCCCAGAATCCGTTCTCCCTCTTTCTTGTTGGGCTCTCTTCTTATTTTTCTTTCCCCCATACGCATGACCAAGTCCTTGTTGTGCAAATTCAGTTGTGATCTTCCAGCGATATTTTCATCTCACGATCACTCTCATCTACATTTGGGAGTCTATTCTTGATCAGCATCTTCACAGAGAAATTTATTTTCACGCTTTATAGATCCCGTAACACCAATCAAATTTTATATCATCATTCATATATCAACAACACAGTTACTACCTATCACCACCCCGAATTAAGTTAACCTCAATTGAGAGACCGATCACAACCCTCACTCGGATGAAAAGGCATCGATTCGAACATCCACCCTGATGTGCTATTGCACCTCGGACTGGCCCCCCCGACCCTCGACTGCTTGAGCTTCCGAAAACCTGCAAAGACGTCGGGAAGTGTTCCCGGCTGTAAACCTCCGACGTTCAAGTTAGTATAGTATCGAGAAGGGCACAATATATATTTTAGGGTTTGTAACGTGATTCGATGATTACCTCTTGTGCACCCCACTTAACCTATTTATAAGTACTGACATTGCGTTTGTGCCATGCCTCGGTCCTTACCCGTTAGATGATCCCGCCCCTTCTCATCTTGACGCTACACGTGTTTCTCATACACTACTCCTAATAACCATTATGTCAAACAGCATTCATGCCCACCCTTTCACCTTCACCAATGCGAAAGTGCTAGGCTAAGCCTATTTAAATTCGAGCCACCGAAAAATATATAACTGGGCCACCGCTATTACGCCCTTTGGGCCGAGCTCCATGCAAGACCAAAAGAGACCGAGCCCATACAGGTCCAGCCTGTAAAAGGTCATGCCCGAAAAGCTAAAAGGTCGAGCCCATAAAAGGCCTTCACCCTATTAACTCTATGTGCTATATCACACCCGGTTTGATCGCACGAGAACCCACCACCGCCAGACCTCGGGCCGTCATTCGGAGATTCAGCTCTCTATATGCCCAAGATCCTTGATGGTGCACGAATAACGAGTCGTGTGAACAACAGTCGGGCCCTGCGAATAACCGTGTAGCAGCAATTGAGCCCTGTTTGTCGGGGGCGGGCAAACAGCCATCGAGGAAGCCGTTCAAGGCCAGATAGTACATCGTCGAGACAATGAACTCCTTACTGTGTACGATCAGAACTTAGTCGCCCTTCTGACCACGACCGAGTAACAGTCCCTAGACCACCGCCACCAAATCCATGTCTGAAGGCCAACCTCGGCGGCAGACTGCAGTCGCGCAGCCAAGAAGTAGCAGCGAGGGGACATCACCGCACCCCGTCAGCCGCCTCGAAATCCGCCTACCCCCTGCTCGTCGGACCCCAACCGCTGCAGAACCTCCGAGAGCCACCCAGCCATCACCGTCGCAACGCTGCAACGCGAGCTCCTTGAACACCAAACCACCGGACCTCTGTCCAATTTCGCGAACCTCCATTTTTGCCGAATCCGTGAATTGAATTTTTGGCTGACGTTTCACAGCCACGAACATCTGGGAATTTGCGGCGAACCTGGGAGTTCAGGTCGAGGCTATGGTGATTAACCGCCATCTGTTCACGACCGCATAGTCCCCATCACTGGCGGAAACCAAGAGCCCTGCCGCGAGAAGCCCGCCGTACGATCACCAGAACCAGAGGATCTCGTGTATACGCGGAACCGAGAGCAAGAGAAGATAATTGTTTGGTAAATCTTCAATTATTCTGAGGAGGGTGAGTGTTGATTTAGGGATTTTGGTTTGCAAGAGAGAAAATAGAAGAAAGGAAATTGAAGGGTAGAAGAGAATAAAAGACGGGAAGGAAATAAGATAGAAATGAGAGAAATAAAAGAAATTGTGCTTTGACCCAATTATGAAGATTGGGCTTTGTGGGGTTGGATTTTAGACTACAAAACAAAATACTTGGCTCTCTTGAAGAAATTGGAAGGGCCAAAGGGAAGTAAAATATGAACTAAATCAAATTGGGTGTAGGAAGGAGCTTCAACCATTTACCGAGTTATTATCGATCCGTGCCCCTTTGCTTATAGATTCCCGAAGTGCTGTAAATTTCGAAACTCCCTTTTAAATCGCGTTTAGATCCTTTAGTGAGAAATTAGTTAAATTTCTGAATAATGAGATAATTTATTTTTGGAAGTTATCTCTCTTAATTTTTAGGTTTTCGAGGAGTCGAGCCCTTAAACCTACCGTGAGCACTTGCATTTGTCATTTCAGAACAACAGGTGGGTTTTATTCTAAAATTTTCTAAGCCGTAAATAGTTTATTTGTTGTTGAGTTGGTATGATCAATGCATGAGTGTGAATCTGTGTAACCATCGATGTGAGCTGTATGTCCTTCGACGGTGCCCTTGTGAGACAATCTCCCTAAGTGCTGATATGGCCGTACCCTTGTGAGGTACGTAAGTCCCTATGTAAGGCCATGCCGTTAAGAGCTGTATGTCCTTCGGTATGCACTTCCATTGTTGAGAGCTGTATGTCCTTCAATGACTAATGATAGATGTGCACATGAGTGAGATTATTGGTGTATTTATTGGAGATGTGACATGTTGAATTGATTTATGATCATGTTTTGACCATACCCTTGTTATATTATGTTGTTATTTACGTGCATGGTGGTGAGCAAGACAGTTTCATTTGTGCTCACCCCTACCTGCTCTTCATGGATGCATGTTAGTAAGTGCTGGCATGGCGGAGGGATGCAAGTAGTGGTCGGTCATTGGTGACCAACTTATTATTTGATATTGCTTCTGCTTATTGAACTGATTAATTTTATTATTGCACTTATGATTATTGAGGATTGATGATTGAATATTGAGGATTGATGATTGATGATTGAGGATTTGGAATTATTGTTGAATATTGATGTATGCTTTTGAAAATGAGTAACGCCACAAGTGATTTTGAAATAAATTCAAAAAATTTATTACTGATTTTCGTCAAATAAAAGTGGGGCGTTACATCAACGATATCTGGGTTTTCGACATCAGCACATCTTCTTGGACTAGACTTGATGTGGCTTGTCAAAAATCTCAAGGTTGATTTTCGCATGCGGCCACTGTCACAAATATGTGGATTGCCGTGTTTGGAGGTTGAGATAACTTTTGATGATATTCGTGAAAAATATATTGGGTTTTAATTTTCCTCTAGCCAAATAGTTTTATGTAAGAATCATAACCAAATAACCAAATCTATTTGTGAAAAATCTGTTGTAGGCCTGCAAATGCTCAATTTTTTCATGAAAGAATCTTATACATTATATATTAAATAGAAAAAATCTTATGTTATTTTTATTCGTAACGCTTTTTATGGTTGTCATATGTACTTGCATCATGTTATTTTGATAATGTGGTTATGTTCCATATAGTTTTGTATGTTGTATTGATTTATCTGTGTACTTAAAGGATAAAGTTAGTGCATTACAATTTTCAAATATTATGATGTTGTTTTACTGAAATCATGCGATTCTATGTGCATATGCTCCGGGAGTGTAGGAGTTACTTAGCAAAGGTTTGCATGATTTTGAGGTTGAAAATTGTGGCACTGCTATGAGGATCGAGGAGGTACCTGCCGTTCGTGATGTCGCAGGCGAAGAACATCAGGGAGAAGGAGTGGGCGTGAAGATGTACATGAGCAACTACCCCTTCGACGACACCGACCAGGATTGTTGGGTAGGAAAAGGGTATTTGGAGTTTATTTTTCAGAGAAACGTAATTCATTTCGAGCGTCTAGGTGGGTTGCTTTGTTTCAGAATAAAATATGGATAAACATATTTTTTATTCATTTTTCGATTTGCGTCTTCTCTGACTAGGGGGATGGTCATGATTGAATATTTCATTTTTATGTTTGAAAAAATTGGGATTTAAGCCATGAAATGAGAAATTATCGTTTGCGGTTCTTTTGTTTTCTTTGTGGGGTTAAACGACACTCATGATCCAATCGAGCGACACAAGTTATTTGGTTTGTTAGTTTTTCTTACCTAATCAACCAAGTTTCAGCTCATTTCATGTTTATTTGGCAATTGCAAAAGAAGAAACAAGAAAGATTGAAGTTTTAATCAGTTTTCTTGAATAAATTTTTTGTGGATTTATTCAGCATTTCCGTTTCAGGAATCCTGCCGGATCAACGGTGTTTGCTCTTTGCCGGAAAGCAGATCAAAGATGGTCGAACCCTTGCGGATTACCAGTTTAATGGATCATGATCTTTGCTTTTGTATCTTTTTCAAGGTATAGAGATTAAAATTTGATCATGGGTTTTGCATGATTTGTACAGTTGATTGAGCTTCAAATCTCAAGTGTTATGTATGTTAGATTGTTATAGTTTATGCTACTATTTTCAATCATTCTCTTGACAGGGACGACCACTAAACCCCCAACAGAAACAACGGTAGCATGCACGAAACTCATAGCCTGGCGCGCACCAAAAACAATTTCATCAGGGGCCTCATATCCACAAACACTGAAAGCAACATGAAGAAATAATTAGGCCAATTGGGGACCATAAATGATGTGGTCGTGATGTACTATCAAACACTCAAAGGCCCAGAGGTTTCGGGTTCATAATGTATGATTCGGAGGCACCAGTGGATAGAGTATTGGTGAGAACATTTCACGAGCTCAACGATAAAATGGTCGAGGTCAAGCTTGTCGTCCTGAAGGCGGTCCAATGGGCCTGCACGGAGCCCATCGATCTACTGCCCAAACTAGAAAGACGGGCTTTTCAACTGTTATTCTCTGGGCTATAATAGTTTTAATTCAGCTGGTGGATGCGGGATGAGAATGGATGGCTGTTTTAACACTATTGGTCAAGTACGGGTATCCACCATACAACCCTGGAAATCATAGTGTGGGGTCTAGTTTGGAGACTGGATGGGGTAATCGAGATTTTATATTCAATATAATACACCGTTATTTCATTAGAAATATATTTATTTTTACATTGTATCGCCCCATGTGAATCTATACGGACATCATCTTCTATATTGCACACCTATAAATACCCTTTCCATTATAGGGTTTTACTATTTTCTAGACAAGATAATGATGCGTTGTCTAGATGGAGTGCATCATATGCTATGTGCTTTAGTAAATTGTTTTACTATCTTGTTGGTATGTTATCTGACTGATTTTTTTTGCTCTTTCAATTTCTCTTCTCATGTTTCTCTTTAAATAAAGATTGCATCTTCACATCATGGTTAGGTTTCAATTAGAAGGGAGTTTTTCCGGTTCAACCCTCAATCCCTCGACATTCCAATATCACACTTTCTTCCATTTTCCTGTTACATAAATAAATTAGCTCCTTTATTAAGTACCTTAATTAAATTGCTGGTATATCAATCTTGTGTAGTTTAGATTTGGAATTTTTGGGTTTAGTAGAGAATAGGTATGCTCTTTCTCTGTTGTTAATTTAGTTCAACAAAGATTCCGGAAACCAAATGGATGAATGCAAGTTGAAAGTTGTGTATGTACTGCCTGCCCAACAACCGTCGCCTATTCGGGAAGGATCGGAAGAGGGTTCCTCCCCAAGCACCTCTGTATCGAAAAACAGAAATGCGAATCAGACCTCTGATTTCAATGCTTTGAGTATTTGACTATTAGGCTCTAACTTTATATTTTAAAATTTGATATTTATTAGTTTTCTTCTATGGCTACAGGTTTCTAAAGGATTTGTTGAGACTAATACATCAGAGGTTCTTTCACTTTTTTCACTTGATCACTAATTAATATTTAATGATTTTGGAATATTTGCTGTACTTACTTCAGTATGTTATTTTGCTTGGGTTGGTCATATTTAGAGTTTACTTAATATTCTCCTTTTCCCAGTTTCTGTACATGTACGCATTTGGAGGATCACATGCATCATTGTATAAATTCCATTGATGCGATGTCTATTTCCTCCTCTTAAACTAGGAGAGCATAATAGAATTTGAAAATGTTACTTGATGTTGGGTGTTCGTCTTATTGGGAAATAATGAATCTGCAGGGTTAATTTGGACTTAGGGCAGGGCGTGTGAGAAAAGTGTCTAATTGGAAAATATAGTCTTTATGTAGGTTTAGAAGTTATTTGAATATTTTCTGCCTAATTGGAAAAATAATCTTTATGTAGATGTCGAAGTTATTTGAATACATTCTAATATAAGGCATGATGGATACATCCATCGCTTTGTTGAATGATAGACGTAAATTTCGAGTAGGGTTAGATAAAAGCAACTGCCTCTTGATGCTTTTTGTATAGGATTGGCCATGAAAGGGCCAACCTGTAACAGGTGACTTGTTTTTTAGGAGACGCGAGTTCAACATGGGGCCCATGACCTTTACGAGGGATGCCACGAGCATAAAGCCCTGCTTTAATTGGTAAATTTTTTTTGTTATTGTTTCGGGTTCCATTGATGGTTTAACCGTGTTTTATGCAGTGATATCATTTTGTGGATAGAATTGCAGTGATATATTTGTGTAGTAGGATGTGGTTTTCTTCATGTTGTGTTGCTTCTTTATACCATTAGTTTTCTATTGTTCCGGTCCACGTTATTATCAAATTGTCTGAATGTGTTTAATTTGTTCGTATTATAATTGCGGAAGTCTGATTTTGTGCATAAATATATGTTTACAAACCCTGTTCATAGCAATTGATATATAGGTATGTCAGTAGTAATACTAATGCAACAGTTTTAATTTGACACTTTGAATAACATGATGATCAGAATAGTTCAAAATTTAGTTGTAAAAACAATCAAGCAAGCAAATATCGACATTTTCTTATGGCCTTTGGAGGTACGTGATTATTTACAAAATATTCGCCTTTTAGTGTTGAAATTGTTATGTTATTACTACTGACGATGTTTTGTTATTGAGCTTGTAATGCAAAATTTCGTATTATTGAATTAATAAACACGAGAACTTTGTACAAATTGATTTCAACGGATCAAATGAAATATAGTGGATTACAAATCTCTATTATTCCTTTGATTAATTTCTTATAGAACAATCTTCAAATAGATATGAGACTTTTGGAGATGAATTTTCAGTTTGATCTCCGTCGGTCTTGAATTTGGATTTAATTAACATTTCTTCGAGGGTTTGACATCTTGATATCGAATTGAACGTCGTGATTTCACAAGAACGTGATCTTCTCTACGCCGATCTTGACTTTAATAACGTAATTCGGAGGCTTGACAGCTTGTTTCCGGATTGAACGTCAATTTTGGGCTTGAACGTGCTTGAATCTTCCTTCGGATCCTCAAGAATGCCTTTGGATCTTCAAAACACTTTGACTTTAATAACGCAATTCGGTGGCTTGACAGCTTGTTTCTGGATTGAACGTCAGTTTTGGGCTTGAATGCACTTGGATCTTCCTTCGGATCTTCAAGAATGCCTTTGGATATTCAAGAATACTTGAATCTTGTGGAGAGAATTCTCTAGAGCTCATGACTTGAATATAGCTTGTGGACTTGAATACGAATTGTGATTTTTCACATTAGGGAGAGTACCTATTTATAGGTGTTGGGAGAGAGAGTCTTGGAAAAGAAGACTTCAATTTGATTGGTCCATAATTTTCAATATTTATCTCTTAAAAATTATTTAGAGAGATAATTAGGAGAGAGAGTCTTGAAAAAGAAGATTTCAATTTGATTGGTCCATGAATTTCCACTTATTTATCTCTTTAATAATTTATTTAAAGAAATAATTATATATTTTACTCTACAAGAAAATGACATGTGACATTCTTTAATTGACTTTCAAAATATATATGTGGCCATCTTTAATTGGCCAACAATATATATATATATATATATATATATATATATATATATATTAAATAATCAATTAATTAACTATTTAATTTAGGAATTAAAATTTGATTAGTTTTTCAAATAAAATAGATAATTATTAAATTGATTTTGACATGAAATTTGACACTTGTCACCATTTTATTGGCTCAGAATTTAATTGTCTACAAATACCCCCTCGAGACTTGTTCACGTACGACTTGTCTTGGAGTGAATAAGTCACGATTTGATTTAATTTGGGTTTGGATGTCCGGAGTCCGGATATCAACTTTATGGGCTTGAGAGATTAATAAGGCCAAGCATTCTTTACATGTACCTTAAATAGCCCATTAGTACATCACTTTGCATATATATTTCAAATGGCCCGTAGCACTTCACTTTGGATATCATCTAAACATGGCCCAAGTACTTAAAAAGCAAACAAATCAAGTTGCTTTTTGGGATTATGCCCAAATAGAAGATTAATTATTCCCCAAATCTTATTCATTGGAAGAAATTTGGGAAGAATAAAGCTACTTGTACAATTATTTTGTACAATTATTTTGTACAACATGATGTGTCATCATGTAGATAATTGAGATCCAAAAAAATGTGTGGCTAAGATTTGTTCAATGATTGTGATAACTAATGTTGTCAACTAATGTTGTCAACACTAGTTGTACATGTAGCATGACCCATTTGGGAAATGGTATCAAATACAAACTTTATTTATAATTTGGACACAACTAGTTTTATAACTTTTTCTTTCAAAAATACAAGGTTAAAAATGGTTTTTTATCAAAACTCTAATGTGAACACAATAACTATAGAAAAAGTCAATAAAGAAAATAATTATATATTATGAGTAATACACCAAGAATTTCAGAACAAATAGAAACACTTGCAGACATAATAAAGAAAATACAATTGGAAACGTTCAAAAAATTAGATGAAATAAAAGAGATAATAAAAGAATTACAAAATTTAGTACAAAAAGAAAAATCAGAGGAAAAACTATTTAAATCAATTCAAATATAACCGCCAACAAGTTCTAATGGATGATATAGATAGATTAACTCAATTATTAAAAAAATGCAATATTGAAGAAACTAAAATGGCAAAAATAGACGATGAAGATAAACAAGGAATAATCTACGGAATAGATAGTGAAGATGAAAATGAACCAACATTTAATAACAGATCAAAAACCTCATACAGCACCACCATTATCACCAAAACGGCCTAGAACAAATAATAATGAAGCATCTACTTCACATAATAATTATGTAGAAAGCAGTTTTAGAGATTTTATACATAGAAATGATTATAGTTATCATCAAGAAAAAATTAAAAAAAATATACCACCAGCATTTTTAGAAAAAGAGAGAAATTTATCTAATGGAATATTAAATATTGATTGTGCAACTAATACAGAAGATTTAATAATCACTTGGACTAATC